CACATCTTGGAAAGTAGATTTCCGGGGTGGGGGTGCGGGCGCTGAGTAATATTTTTTTTCTGAGAAGGGGGCGGTAGGCCAAATAAGTTTGGGAACCTCTGAATTAAAGCATCATCTGCTGGCACATACCATGAAAACCTTGTTGGTCGCTAAGGTGCTACTGGGATTGAACGGAATTGTTCCAGTATAAGCCAATACACATTTAATGATACGTAATCCATTTCAGCCGTTTTTGAGTGAAGCCATAATTTCAACATCTCCCGTTCACTGGTGGCGAAGGGGGACTCAAGTGGACTGTGGGGAGAATGTCATAGTTAAGTGCCCCCCTGTCCTAGGCTGGGGAAAGGCCCCCACTGCACCATGGGAGCAGACTGTTCCACTGCTCAACCACTCTTACAGTTAGGAGAAACTTCCTAACTGTCAGAGTGGTTGAGCAGGGGAACAGTCTGCCTCGGGAGGTGGTGGATGCTCCTTTGCTGGACGTTTTCAGGTGGAGGCTGGACGACCATCTTTCGGGTATGTTGTAGGCATGTAGGGCTGTCTTTCGCTTTTGCTCCTGCAGAGTGCAGGGGGTTGGACTAGATGACCTGCAAGGTCTCTTCCAACTCTAACATTCTATGATTCTATGAATTCTTAAAAAATTCATTTCTACCCCACCTTTCTCCACAATGGGGGGTCAAGGCAGCTTGCTACACCCTTCGTTTTATCCTCCTAACAACCCTGTGAGGTAGGTTAAATTTAGAGGCTGTGACTGGCCCAAGATCACCAGAGAGCTTCCAGGGCAGAGTGGGGATTCGAACCTGGGTCTCTCAGATCCCAGTCTGACACTTTAACCACTACTCCACCACACTGGATTTCATCACTCTGATCAACTAACGGCTCAAGCAGCGAGGGGAAGATTCCCCCTCTGCCTACTGCCGAATGATGGTATTCTCCCCCCCCCCCAATTTCTCCCCACAGTCCCAACTGATCACGACACTGGGAAACGGCATGGAGTTGAGCAGGCTCTCGAGGGTGTCAGAGGACAGGAGGGCCTGGCGTGATGTGGTCCATGGGGTCGCGAAGAGTCAGACTCGACTGTGCGACTGGACACCAACAAGTAAGTGTGGGCCTGGACCAGGTTCAGCCTCACCCACCCCCCACCCCAGGAAACTGTGAAGTCTGCACCCCTCCTCGAGGATGATGCTCATGAAAATGCCTCCGTGTGCTCAACGGGTTAACCTTGAAAAGTGGTGTTTTCCTGCTTCATTTACAGCTCTTGGCAACACTCAACATAGGAGAAGGATAGGGCCAAACAACTACTTTTAGGGGAAGGTCTGAGTCCGGCGGTGGCAGAGTCCCCTTAAGCTCTCATGCTGGGCAGGCACCCTTCTTCAGGTACAGCGAAGACACCCTCAGCCTCGCATAGAGGGGGGGGGAAATGGACGGTTAGGTGCCAGGAAGAGCCGGTTAGAGTCAAGGTGCGAAAGGAACTGCCAGTAAGTCAGGCCCATAGCTACAGTGGGGGCACCTTGGGGCCTGGCCCCCTGACTTACTGCCAAGGGCCCCCTGCCTCCCCATCCAGCCCAGGCCCCCCAACTTCCATTTTTTTAAAAAAAATATTTTTATCGGTTTTGTAAAAGAGTAACATAAGATGGAAATACCTGGTCATGCGATTCCAGTGCTCTTGGGGAGGGGTAAGTATAGCGGTGGGTCTAGGCAGTGCTTCAAGGGAAGGGTGCGGAGAAATGGAATGGCTCGGCATCCTTCCAGCCTGAGACCCATCCCAAGGGTGACTGGCAGTGGGGCTGCGATGGAGAACCCCTCTCCGTCATTGGTGTTGTGCAATGCCAGGTCGATTAACAACAAAGCGGCTGTCCTTCGGGACTTCGTGATTGACCAACAAGTTGACCTGGCATGCGTGACCGAGACTTGGGTCAGGGAGGGGGAAACCGTAGCCCTGGCCCAGCTTACACCACCTGGTTTCTCGGTCCTTCACCAATCATGGACGAAGGGGCGGGGGGGAGGAGTGGCTATTTTCATTTGGGAGGCTTTCTCCTTCAGGGCGCTCCCGGCCGTGGAGATTGTGGGCATAGAGTGTGTCGGAGCGATGCTGGAGGCTGAGGAGAGTTTGGCAATTTGGGTGGTGTACCGACCACCTAGCGCACCTGCCAATAGCCTGCCGTCCCTGTTGGAGGCCGTATCAGGCTGGGCATTGGAGCACCCTAGGCTGTTAGTCGTGGGGGATTTCAACGTCCATGCCAATGACGCGACCTCCAGCCGGGCTGCGGACCTGGTGTCGTCCATGGCGGCACTGGGGCTCTCTCAGGTCATCACGCCCCCCACGCATCGGGCTGGTCATACGCTTGACCTGATCTTTGAGGCGGGGGTAATGGTGAACCGGATTACCGCAATAGCGGTACCATGGTCGGACCACCAGGCCCTGAAGGCCCGTCTGAATGTGCCACCCCAAACCCGCTTAGGTGGCGAGCGGATTTTTGCTTGCTCGTGAGGCCAAATGGACCCTATGCGGCTTCAGATGGCGTTGTGGGAGGCGAAGCCCCCTGGCAGCTCGCTGGATGAGCTTGTGGAGGACTGGCATGACCGGCTCTCCGCGGCCATCAATGAGATTGCTCCCAGGCGTCCTCTCCGGACTCGCGCTAGGCGGGCGCCTTGGTATACCCAGGAGTTGCACCAGCTGAAGCGAGAACTGAGACGACTAGAGAGACGGTGGCGGCATGCTCGTGACGAGGCGTCAAGAGCATCTTATAGGACGTTTATGAAAGCCTATGAGATGACAGTCAAGGCCGCAAAGAGGGAGTTCTTTGCGGCTAGGATTGCATCTGCTAGCTCACGCCCGGCACAATTATTTAGTACGATTCGGTCATTGACAACTCTGCCACAGGGCAGGCAAAACGAGAGGGTATTGGATATCGGCTGCGAGGCATTTGTGAGCTATTTTGCAGAGAAAGTTTTGGCGCTCTGCCGCAACCTCCCCGCTACAATTGATACAGTGAGCGAACTTGAGGCCCCTTGCACGTCTTTGGAGCCGGGTTTAGTAAGTTTCTGCCCACTCAGCCTGGAAGACGTTGACAGATTGCTTGCGGTGGTACGCCCAACCACATGTGACCTTGATCCGTGCCCCTCTTGGCTCATTAAAATGGGCCACGAGGGGTTTCGAGGTGTCCTGCGGGAGATTATCAACAAGTCCCTCTTGGAGGGACGATTCCCCAGGGCACTCAAGGAAGTGATGGTCCGCCCTCTCCTAAAAAAGTCATCCCTAGACCCGGCCGAATTGGCCAACTATCGGCCGGTGTCCATTTTGCCCTATTTGGGCAAACTGATAGAGAGAGCGGTGGCAACACAGCTGCAGGCATTTCTGGATGACGCTTCCGTCCTCGATCCCCACCAGTCCAGGTTTCGTCCGGGTCATGGGGTGGAGACTGTTCTGGTCGCGCTGACTGATGACCTCCGTAGGCATCTGGATCGAGGCAGTGTGGCGGCACTGTTGCTGTTAGATCTGTCAGCCGCTTTTGATACGGTCGACCATCAGTTGCTGGCCCACCGCCTCGCAGATGTGGGGATTCAGGGGCTTGCCTTTCAATGGCTGGTCTCTTTTCTCCAGGGTCGGGGACAAAGGGTGGCAATAGGGGATCACCGGTCCCAGAGGTGGCCCCTTGAATGTGGCGTACCTCAGGGGGCAGTGCTGTCTCCAATGTTTTTTAACATCTACATGCGCCCCCTTGCCCAGATTGCCCGGAGTTGTGGGCTGGGGTGTCATCAATATGCGGATGACACCCAGCTATACCTGATGTTGGGTGGCCAGTCGGATTCCACTCCCGATGACCTTCATCGGGCGTTACAGGCCGTGGCTGGGTGGCTCAGACTGAGTCGGCTGAAATTAAACCCGGCAAAGACGGAGGTCCTTGGGCTGAGTCGGATCGGTTCGGGGTTGGGGCTCCCTCTCCCGACCTTCGGCGGGGTGCCGTCATCGGAGGTTAGGAGCTTGGGGGTGCTCCTGGACTCCTCATTAACAATGGAGGCCCAGGTAGCAGCCACTGCCAAGTCAGCATTTTACCATCTTGGCTGGCGCGGCAGTTGGTTCCCTTCCTCGACCGGAATGACTTGGCCACAGTGATCCATGCGACGGTCACCTCAAGGCTAGACTACTGTAATGCTCTCTACATGGGGCTGCCTTTGTCACAAATTCGGAAGCTGCAACTAGTGCAGCCAGGCTGTTGATGGATCTTCCTAGATGAGAGCACATCCGGCCTGTGCTGAAAGCGCTGCACTGGTTGACAATAGCGTACCGGGTTCACTTCAAAGTGCTGGTCATTACCTTTAAAGCCCTATATGGTCAGGGACCAGTCTACCTAAGGGACCGCCTTGCCCCACATGTTCCCCCAAGGGCCCTTCGGTCGGGGAGTTGACATCTATTGGATGTCCCAGGCCCCCGGTCCATCAGACTTACCATGACCAAGAATAGGGCGTTTTCGGTGGCGGCTCCTATCTGGTGGAATGAGCTCCCAGAGGAGATCAGGGCTCTGCGGGACCTAGCACAGTTCTGCAGAGCCTGCAAGACGGAGCTCTTCCGCCAGGCTTTTGAATAGGAGCCGCCACCACCAGTGTACCACCAATGCACTAGTCTATCATCAACGCCCCATTTATGGACATCAGGACATCAGGATATCAGGATATGGGCATGTACCATCAATGCCCCATAATTACTGCATCGGGGTGAGAACGGGGCGTTTAGGGGACGGCCATCTTGTCTTTAGGAACGGTAATCTTGGAATTGGTTGATAAGAGCACCAAATGTGTTTTAATTATGACATAATTTTAATATTTTGTATTGTATTAGTGTTTTGTTTTGGTGATACGACTGTTAGTCACCCTGAGCCTCCGGGGAGGGCGGGACAGAAATGTAAATAATAAATAAATAAATAAATAAATAAATATAAGACAGAACTTAATGCTTCTACATTTCTACATATAGCATCATGAAATTATTACTTACAATTTAGTGACATTCCGACACCATACAGCACCATCGGGATACCGTGAGTTTGACAATTTTCAAATTTATCCGCTTTCCCCTATAAATACAACCATTTATGATAGATCTGCTTAGCCGGGAGTATATCATTTGTTACCATATAGTCTAGCACAGGGTTTCTCTCGCCAAGCTGCAATAGTGGGTTGAGAGGGGGATTTCCATGCCGCAGCAATTGTCAACCTGGCTGCGGCAAGTAACGTTGCGATGAGGTCTTTGCTGCCTCCTGTCATCGCATCATCCCACAGATTTAGCAACACCACCTCCGGGGTACATGGTAATGCTTGCCTAGTTATCTCATTTATCTGTGACATCACGGCTCTCCAAAAATTTTGAGTTCCTTGACAGCCCCACCAGCAATGGAGGTAAGTCCCTATCTGTCCGCACTGTTTCCAACAAGTGTTGCTTATTGAAGGTTTAATTTTGTGCAACTGTAGTGGAATTAGGTACCAACGAGATGTTATTTTGAAGAACTGAAGACGAATGTTGTACACGGAGGATTTTTATTTTATTTATGATTCCCCTTGGGGTGTGTGTGGGGTGCCTGCATGGGGTGCCCCCCGACTTATTTAAAGGCCCCCTGAATTTAAAAAAATCCTGACCTGCAGTAAGTACAGCTGAGATTAGATTGAAGCCATTGATAAGACCCAAGCAGTTAAAGTGGCAATTCAAAGCAAGACCAGAATTGCAAAAAAACAACAACAAAGCGACCCTGAGTCATGCTTCTGAGACAACAGAAGATTTTTTTTTCCATCCGAGAAACTGAAATGCACAATTCTTGCCTTATGATCAATGTTCCCTCTAAACTGTGGAATCTTGTAAGCAAAAATTCTACTTTGTGAGCTACTGGCATTAAGGTTTTGAGTGAGCGATTTGGCTCCTGCGTGAATTAGTTTGCTCTGGAGCCCCCTCCTTCCTGAGCTAAGACAAAAATCTGTGAGCTGGAGGCTAAAAAACTGAGAGCTAGCTCACACTAACTCAGCTAAGAGGGAACACTACCCCCCCAGTCCCCTCCAGCACCTTCCCTGCTGTGTTCCTCTCTCACCAGCCAGCCACTCCCACCTCCTTACCTCGCCTGGTCTTCAGGTAGAAGGAGACTCCCGCGGCCCCAAAGACCACCCCCAGCACGGCCCCCAAAGCCCCCGTCCACACTTTGCTCTGGGCAGAGTTCGATGACCGCGGCTCTGTGGAAAGAGAAGGAACCTTGTGTGAAAGGACGGCTCCGGGTCAGGTTGGGCCTCTTCGATTCTAGATTTCCCAAGGGGGATTTTGGTCCACGAACTACACAAAGGCACGGCCCACCCCTGAATCACATCTCACAGGTTGCAGAGCCCAGCCTTGGCTGTGAGGTCCCCGTGCTTGTTTGTTTCTTAGATGTTTTAGTTGCTGCCCACCCAAAGGGCCTGTCGGTGACTTACATTCAGAGGTCATTTCGGAGGGGATTGCGGGGGATCGCAGTTCCCCCGGGTGAGGTACGGGGGGGCACATGACAAAGCCCTGCCCCCTGCTTCCTGCCGCCCCGCTTCCGGCCCTCATTCAGCCAGGAGGAGGCAGGAGAAGAGGGAGGGTAAGTTGCTTCCTCCCTGCCTCTCCCCACCCCTGCCTGCCTGGGTCCAGGGAGGGCCTTGGCGGGGTTTCCTTGCACTCCCGCCGGCCTTGCAGGTCCACCGCCGGGCCCCTCATGGGGCTCGGCAGTGGAGCTGCAAGGCTGGCGCCGGTGGCCGGGACCGTTGGCAGCGGGGTGTGTGGCCTTATGACACACTTCTGGTGATGTCAGGGGGTGTGGCCTTATGACACACTTCCGGTGATGTCGGGGTGGTGGTGGCATATGCTAATGAGTTATGCTAATGAGTTCCCCTAGCTCTTTTTCTACAAAACGACCCCTGCAAGTTACATTAAAGCCACATAAATAAGGTAAAAGCAACATAAAGACATGTAACAAATACAAAATATTAACATTAAAATGCCGAGGTATTAAAATACGTGGCTAGCAACATGCCACTAACACAAACAGCCAAAACATGTGGATTACCCTCCAGACCCATTGGGCCTTCCGTGCCCTGTGGAAACGAAAGAAGTCCGGCAGGGCACAGGGGTCATCCGAGAGCACATTCCACAGGGCAGGGGCCACAACTGAGAAGACCCTACCCCTGGTGGCAGCTAACGGAGCCCTCCTGGGGCCAGGCACTTGCAAGAGGCCCCTTGCCAGCTTGGTGTAGTTGTTAGGAGCATGGACTCTAATTTGGGAGAACCAGGTTTGGTTCTCCACATGCAGCTCCTCCACATGCAGCTGCTAGGGTGACCTTGGGTCAGTCACAAGTTCTTTCAGAGCTGTTCTCTCAAGAGCAGTTCTCTCGGAGCTCTCTCAGCCCCACCTACGGCAGTGTTCTCTCTGAGATGAGTAAGTGTGAGCCAGCTCACAGTTTTTTTAGCCTCCGGCTCACACATTTTTTCCCTCAGCTCAGGAGGGACGTGGCTCCAGAGCAAACTAGCTGATGCGGGAGCCAAATGGCTCGCTCACAACTTTAATGCCGGTAGCTCACAAAGTAGAATTTTTGCTCACGAGACTCCACAGCTTAGAAGGGAGAATTGCTCACAGGGTGTCTGTTGTGGGGAGGGGAAGGGATTGTGATTAACTCTGAGACTCCTTCGGGTAGTGAAAGGCAGGGTAACAACAACAACAACATTTCTTCTTCTCCTTCTCCTCCTTCTTCTATGGATGATGACCAAAGGGAGTGGGGAAGGCTGTAACAGGAGAGGCGGTACCACAGGTCTGAGGGTACCATTCAGATCCTGCACCACCACCCAGGGAGTGGGGGGGGTCCTTCCCCAAAGACTTGGTCCTGTGGGCCATTCCCAGGCCATCTGCTGTGTTTCCAACTAGGGTTGCCAACTCTCCGTTGGGGAATTCCTGGAAATTCGGGGGAGATGCCTGGGGGGAGGGTGGAGATTGGAAAGGGGAGAAACCTCAGCAGGGTATAACGCCATATAGACTCCTCCCTCCAAGACAGCCGTTTTATCCAGGGGAAATTATCTCCCTAGTCTGGAAATTGTTTTGTAATTCTGGGAGAACTCCATGCCCCACCTGGAGGTTGGCAACCCAACTTTCTACTACCAAAGTGAAGCACTGGGACTGGGAGGTCTGGGAGATACCCTGATGTAGCTCCAAGAGAGGATACTTAATTCAGGGGGGGGAAAGCCAGGGAGACACAAGACTTCCTCCTGAAACAGGAGACAAATCCTTTTGCAGACAGGTAAAGGTAAAGGTCCCCTTGCTCGAAAGCCAGTCGAATCCGACTCTAGGGTTGCGGTGCTCATCTCCGTTTCAAAGCCGAAGAGCCAGCGCTGTCCGAAGACATTTCCGTGGTCAAGTGGCCAGCATGACTAAATACCAAGGCGCACGGAACGCTGTTCCCTTCCCACCGAAGCGGTACCTATTTATCTACTTGCAATTTCTTGCTTTCGAACTGCTAGGTTGACAGGATGCAGACAGTTAGGAGGTCCTTGAACCAGCCCCACACGTCCTGTGGATACAGAAGGGGTCTCTGGGACCCCCCCGAGTGCTTCCAACTCCAGGGGGCTCTATGGGGCTTTCAGGGGCCCCATTCTGCAGAACAGCCACTTCCCGAAACCAGGCACCTACTTTCCTGACCACGATGAACCTCCCAGAAAAGGAGAGGAGAACCCACTGGAGGGACTTTACAGTTATGCCTGCAGGGACCACAAACTCTCTTCAGTGTAATGTGCAAATGTACAAATCCGGGTCAGGGATGCCTGGCAAACAAGCAAGTGCGTGCCATGGGGACTGAGGGACACCTCGGAATTCTACCTTCACCCTTCTCTCCCCCTCCTCCTTCAGTTCCATCTCCCTTGCCAAACACATAAGAATCTCTTTGCACGATCAGCGCTCGATCTGAGACCACACCAGCCAGCCAGAATCCTCCCTGGGAAGCCTCTGCTGGGCCGACTCAAACTTTGAGCTCAACAGAGTTGATGGAGGACCTTGGAACTCCCACCCACTGTGCAGGATTGTGGGTCCCTGGGAAACGGGGAAGCCCCCCAGTCTCTCACCCCATGACACGGTGATGGGTTCCTTCCGGCTGCTGTGCTCCACCTGGCAGGCGTAGAGGTCTCCCCGCTGGGGCACCGTCTCCAGCATCGCCTGGTTCTGGAAGGTCCAGTCTCCGTTGTGGACCTCATCCATGTACCCTACCCCTTCCGTCTGCTCCTGCCCGTTCTTCAGCCACTTGAAACGAACCCCCGAGGGGTAATATCCTGTCGCGGTGCAGAGCAGGAGGCTGTGGTGGGCCAGGGGCCCTGCCTTGGTGTGGGAGATCTTCACCGTGGGCTGATCTGAAGGAGGGAGAAAAAAAGGGGGGGAACTTCAGAGAAAACAGAAGAACCAGACAAGCACCCACAGGTCAAGAAGAGGGAGAGGTGATCATGTCTGTAGCCACTATATTTCTAAAGACACAATCCCCCGGGTTCTCTCACCCACCAGGACAACCTATGATCCACTGATCCACCTTCAAGGCCCTGCATAAAACCTGTAGACACAAACACACAAAGGCATCTCTCTCCCCCTCCTTCTTCCCAAACGCTAAGATGACGGTATTTTAGAATGCCGGAAATAATAGCAGAGTCTCTGTTTCTTTATATACAGAGTAATTACATTGGATACTGGATACAAGTATACAGTCCTTCTGTGGCAAATTCACTGTCCAGAGCGACAAAGTGCTACGCAGACAGATGATCCCAAAACAGAGATGTGCAGCACTGAACAAGCTGCAATATATATGTACACCAACTGTAATGTATTCAGAAGCTGCCATGAATACGTTAAGATGTAATGTGAAACATCTCATCGGGAAGCTATGTTAAGCTTCGTCTTGAACAAGGATTGTAGTCCAAGACAAATGCGTCCAATCACCTTAAAGCAGACTGTAAGTGGGAACACAGGTGATTGGTCCTTATACGCTCAACCGTATTGGTTGATATCTGTATAGTAGGTGTGGCTACATTCGCCGGGAATTGTTTAAATACCGGACAGCTACTATGGACAAGCTGTTCGGGCTATCAGATGTTGTACCGTGTTGGAGAAGTGTCCGCGTTGCTGAATAAACTTGAGTTTTTGCTGAAATCACTCTCCGACTATTTGTTAAGCGCTGGACTTAACACCAACCAATCAGATCACAGGAATTAACAGTAGCTGAGTCATGGAGACTGTTCCAGAATCTGATGCAATCTTTTAGTCACCCGACACCTGACTGTCAGACTAGATCAGTATGATCTGACACTGCTGCTTATGACTCACTGACATCTTGCCGGTAATATATCCAAATACTGTCATTTATTTATTTTATTTATTTAACTTTCAGTTTATAGACCGCTCACCCCCTAAGGGCTCTGAGCGGTTTACATTGTACAATTAAGAGTTGCTTTGCTGGATCAGACCCGCATCCATCCAGGCCGGCATTCTCTCTCTGATAACAGTGGGCCTGAAGACTCTCAGAACTGAACTGTGGGGGTCAATGTGAACTCTCTCGAGGGCCCTGTTGATAGGGGGGGAACTTGCAGTTACTGCTGCTGCTGCTGTAGGCACTTCTGGAAATGCCTTCGGCCACTCAAGGGGACCCCTGAATTCTCCTTCGGCTCCTGTTTGAAGGTCACCTCTACAGGGCTTTGTTCTCGTTTGGCCTCTGGGAAGCCCACAAGGAGGGATTCTCCTCCCCCTTGCTTCTCCCCAGCATTTGGTGCTCAGAAGAGACCGCCTATGGACATGGAGGTCCCAGTTCACTACCATGGCTCAGAGCTGCCGACAGATCTCCTCTTCAGTATCCTACGGTCATTAGATCACTGGAGTAAACAGACCCAAGTTCAAATCCATGAAATATTGAAGGACCAGTCTTCCTCTCCCAGGACTCCAACTACAGTTTGGTGTAGTGGTGAAGTGTGCGGACTCTAATCTGGGAGAACCGGGTTTGATTCCCTACTCCTCCACTTGCACCTGCTGGTGTGACCTTGGGTCAGTCACAAGCTCTGGCACAGCTGTCCTTGAAAAAGAGCAGTTTGTGTCAGAGTTCTCTCAGCCCCACCCACCTCACAGGGTGTCTGTTGTGGGGAGGGGAAGGGAAAGGCGTTTGTAAGCCGCTCTGAGACTCCAAGTGAAGGGCGGGGTATAAATCCAATCTCCTCCTCCTCCTCCTCCTCCTCCTCCTCTTCTTCTTCTAACATACATACATACATACATACATACATACATACATACATACATACATACAGGGGTCGTTTCCTGCAGGAGCGCAGCTCCGGCAGTAAAGAGCCCAGGGGGGTGGGCACACGCAACAAGCCCCGCCCCCTACTCCCAGCAGCCCTCAGTCAGATCAAGAAGCAGCCAGGTAAGTTGCAGAGCCCCACCCCCCGGCCCCCCAGTCCAAAACAATCCAGTGGCACCTTTAGGACCAAGTTTTATTCAGGTACAAGCTCTCCCTCCTCTGCCAGGACAGATCTGCGCGTCGTCCCCCCCCAAAGCTAGCAATCCAAAACAGTCCAGTGGAGCCTGAACGGTGGGTGTTGCCTTCTGACACACTTCTGGTGATGTCAGGGGGCGTGGCACATGCAAATGAGTTATGCTAATGAGTTATGCTAATGAGCTCCTGCACCTCTTTTTCTACGAGATGACCCCTGCATGCATACATACATATAAAAATAAAACATTCAGATTGGATCACAATGTATCTTCCACCAAAGGGGGGTGGGGTGGGAGGCTGAGAGAAGAGGGCCTTGCTGAATGGCCCCGGGGGTACCGCAGTGCTTGTAGCCCCCCCAGGTCCTCCCCCCACCCAGACACCTGCCCTGCCTTCCCCAAAGACTTGTTCAGGTGGAGAAAGCTCTTCTCTGAGACCTCCCCCCCAAATTATATATAATTTTAATGTTCAATATACCAGTGAACAAAACACAAAAAGTATCACCTACATCCTATAACGTATCTTCTCCAATTCAGTTAAAAATATATATTCGGGAGCCCTGCTGGATCAGGCCACTGAGGGTCCATGTAGTCCAGCATCCCATCTCACAGAGTGGTCAGCCAGTAGCTCCTGACCACTCCTGACCAGCCAGTTTGGTGTAGTGGTTATGTGCGCGGACTCTGATCTGGGAGAACCGGGTCTGATTCCCCACTCCTCCACTTGCTCCTGGCTGGATGACCTTGGGCAAGCCGTAGTTCTGATAAGGGCTGTTCTTGAAAAAGAGCAGTTTCTGTCAAGAGCTCTCTCAGCCCCACCGACCTCACAGGGTGTCTGTTGTGGGGAGGGGGAGGGAAAAGAGTTTGTAAACCACTCTGAGACTCCTTTGGGTAGTGAAGGGCGGGGTATAAATCCAATCTCTTCTTCTTCTTCTTCCTCACAGGGTGTCTGTTGTGGGGAGGGGAAGGGAAAGGAGTTTGTAAGCCGCTCTGAGACTCCTTTGGTTAGTGAAGGGAGGGGTATAAATCCAATCTCTTCTTCTTCTTCTGATGGCCAACCACTGGGCATAGAGGCGGAGGCCTTCTCCTGATGTTGCCTCCTGGCTCTGGAATGCAGAGGACGACGGCCCCTGAATGTGGAGGTTTCTCTCAGTCACCATTGCTAGTAGCCATTGATAGACTTATCCTCCATGAATCTATCTAATCCCCCCCCCCCTTAAAGCTGTTTATTCCTGTGGCCATCTGTGAAGGGCAGCCCTTAAAACAGAACTCAAGAGGCGAAGAGTTAAACGTCCACACGAATGGAGAGCTTTGAGTGACAGGCTGCTCCGAGCATTCTGATTGGGCCGCTCCAGCCACCAGGG